ACCATGAAGTTCAGAAGTTAGATAAGGTTTGCCCAGTCTTGAAAGGAAAAAAATGGAAAGAAAATGGAGTTGCTAGGAGTTCAGGAAATTAACTATCAGAATCTGGAAACGAAGAAAGATAAGGGAGAAACAATGCTGTTAAAAGTCTAAAACAATGACAAACCACTTCTGTATTGTTAAGAAAACTACAATACTTGGACACACCTAACTAGTCACTGGGAGTTAAACTTAACATAATCTTTGCTTTTACAACAAGAAACCTAAAAGCAGTCTACTGTAATTATATGGAGAAGTATCGCAATAGCAATAGTGTACATTAATTTTGATTGTGACTTATCTGTTTGTTTAATCAGTGATGTCATCAAAGTAAACAAAACCCATGCAGATGTCACCAGGTCATGACCCTAATTAGATTTATTCATTTATTATATCCCACCTTTATTATTATTTTTTAAATAACTCAAGACAGAGAACATATCATATTACAGCAACCCTATGAGGTTCACTGGGCTGAGACAAAGTAATTGGCTCAAGGTCATCCAGCAGGCTTCCATGGCTAAGACAGGACTAGAACTCACGGTTTCCTGCTTTCTAGCCTGGTGCTTTAATCACCAGACCAAAGGTCAGGATTCCTACTGAACAGCTTTACAAAGCCTTAGTAATACCACATTTGGAATACTGCATCCAATTCTGGTCACCACAATAAAAAAATGATATTGAGACTCTGGAAAAAGTGCAAAGAAGATGCAAAAATGATTAGGGGGCTGGAAGCTAAAACATAGGAAAAACAGTTTCAGGAATTGGGTATATCTAGTCTAATGAAAAGAAGGACTTAGAGTGATAGGATAGTACTGTCCCAAAATTTGAGGGACTCCTACAAAGATGAAGGGATCAAACCAGAGGTGGGTTCTGACCAGTTCTGGAGAACTGGTAGCGGAAATTTTGAGTAGTTCGGAGAACTGGTAGTAAAAATTCTGACTGTCCCTGCCTCCATCTATTCTCTGCCTCCCAAGTCCCAGCTGATCAGAAGGGAATGGGGATTTTGCAGTAACCTTCCCCTGGAGTGGGGAGGGAATGGAGATTTTACAGTATCCTTCCCCTGCCACGCCCACCAAGCCATGCCATCCCACCAAGCCACGTCCACAGAACCAGTAGTAAAAAACTTTGAAACCCACCACTTGATCAAACTGTTTTCCAAAGCACCAAATGGCAAGACAAGAAGCAATGGTTGGAAACTAACCAAGAAGCAACCCTAGAACTAAGGAGAAATTTCCCAACAGTGAGAACAATCAACTAATTGTGATATGACTGTAACCTTGTTGCTGGTATCTTTACAATTTATATTGACTGTTTCCTAATATGATTTGATTGCTTATTTGTTCTCTATGGCTATCATTAAGTGTTGCACCTCACAATTGTTCATGAATGTATCTTTTCTTTTATGTACAATGAGAGCTTATGCACCAAAACAAATTCCTTGTGTGTCCAATCACACTTGGCCAATACAGAATTCTATTCTGTTCTGTTTGTTCCGTTCCGTTCCGTTCCGTTCCGTTCCGTTCCGTTCCGTTCCGTTCCGTTCCATTCCATTCCATTCCATTCCATTCCATTCCATTCTATTCTATTCTATTCTATTCTATTCTATTCTATTCTATTCTATTCTATTCTATTCTAATGGAATAGCTTGCATTCAGCAGTTGTGAGTGCTCCATCAATGGAGGCTTTCAAAAAGAGACTGAACAACCATTTGTCTTAAATGGTACAGGGTCTCCTGCTCAATCATGGGATTGGACTAGAAGACTTCCGAGGTCTCTTCCAATTCTATTACTATATTTTCTACATTCTAAGTTGTAGAACAGTGCTGGGAAGCAGACAGTAGTATTGGAAAATGTGGTCTGCTATTCATGGAAGTCAATTTATGTGGATAGGTCAGTGGTGGGTTGCTACCATTTTCCCCCTGATTAGGCAAACTGGTAGCAGCGACGGTGGGAGGCTCCGCCCACCCGCCCGGACATCTCTGCACATGCACAGAAGCTTCTGCACATGCACAAAAGCATCATGTGTGCATACCCACAAACAAACCAGTAGCGACGGGATTTGAATACCACCACTGGGTTAGATAGATTAAATTTCAAGACTGATAGGGTATTGGGCTCAGAAATGCTACCAGTTCAATGCTCAAGGCAAACTCAGTCAAAATCGGAGATCTCGTTATATGGTGCTAGGCAGAGACAGTTGTGCCAGTTTTAGATTTGTTAGTCACAGAGGAACTTTTGGGGATAATTTGAACATGTACATGGCACACTGGGCTTACTTGCCCAAAATGAACCTTGTACTTAGCATGAAACATGTGGCACAGCAACTACTCCTTGAAGGAAAGATGACAGATGTTGAGCAACTTCAAGCTTGCTTGGGTGTAGAAAAGAAAGAAAATAAAACACTGGAAATAGGTTGGTCAGAAGCAAAGGGAGCGTGAAAAAGTCTTACAGCAATATTTTAAACATTACATGGTGTAAAGTTATTTCTCTGACAATGACAGATGTTTCCATGCCAAAATGGGGGAATTAGAGTTCTTGATCCTAATCTCAAACATAGAGTGGGGACAGGCATTGTCTCACATAGAGACAATAAGTGGGATAACATCATTCTTTGATACAAATTTTATATAAAGGACAGAAAAATGTGGTGTGGGGGTGTTAATTATTTGCATCTGCCTTTACTATAGAAAATATAGTAGACATCTGTGCTGTATTGGCTTTCTTAGGGGAGCAATCAGAAAAACATTAATTAAGATTAATAAGATAAGATATTGTAGGACAGGGGTGTCAAACTGGGGGCCTGTGGGCCGGATGCATCAAGCGCAGGCCACGGCCACCCCAGCTCCGTGAATGGGAAAAACATCACAAAACATCATGTGATGGCAACGTGATGCAGTGAGTTTCCTACAACGTGATGCACTGAGTATCCTACAACACCTGTGTTGTAGGACATCTTGAAAAACTTGAAAGTTCTGATGACACCTATCTGAGAGTCTTGGCTAGTCCTTTAGTTCTTAAAGAACTAAAATGTAAAATTGCTGCAAAAATATGTATGTAACTTAGTCCTCAAATTAGAAAACCGGAATATAGCCACTGCGAAATCAGGTTTTACAAAGGGATCCAGGAAAGCTCAAAGAAGTTGGAGGCCACTCTGTTTAGCACATGTTCTGGGATGTGTATAATAATAATAATAATGATGATGATGATAATAATAATAATAATAATAATAATAATAATAATAATGATGATAATAATAATAATAATAATAATAATAATAATAGTTGTTGCTATAAAACATAAAAACAACATAAAAAAACATTTTTTATATTGTTACGTTAACATAACTATTGTTATGTCAGGTGTGTTGTGGACCAAGTGCCTGTCAGTCTGAATCCTAAAGATCTTGTGGGACTTTAGGATTCAGACTGACAGGCACTTGGTCCACAACACACCTGACATAACAATAGTTGAAAAGAAAAAAGTATGGTTCATTGACATTGCAATACTTGGTGATGTACGCATTGAAGATAAGCAGCAAGAAAAAATCACAAAGTACCGGGACTTGCAAATTAAAGTTGAGCGACTGTGGAAAAAGAAATCGTGTGTTGTCCCGATTGTAATTGGAGCCCTTGGAGCAATACCGAAAGGGCTACCCCGCTATTTAGAAATTCTAAATTTCCCGGACTTGAACATTTTGACTCTACAAAAAACCACCATACTCGGAACAGCTTACATCCTCCGATGATACCTTAACAGTTCCTAGGTCCTTGGTTAGGACTCAAGCTGCTGAGCTATTAACCAGCCTCAAAGGCTGTGAATCTCACTAAAGATTAACCAATAATAATAATAATAATAATAATAATAATAATAATAATAATACCCGAAGTATATAGAGGAAGAAATCTTGTTGAAAGAAAATCAGCATAGTTTTTATAAAAGTAAATCCTGCCTTACAAACCTTACAGTTTTTCTGAGTTGCCAACTGAGTTCTCAGTTGGCACATGGATGGAGATGATCATCTTGATACTGTATACAGGTTGTCCTCGATTTATGGCCACAATTAAGCTCAAAATTTCTGTTGCTAAGTGAGACATTGCTAAGTAAGTTTTGCCCTATTTTACAACCTTTTTGCCCCATTTGTTAAATGAATCACTGCAGTTGTTAACTTAGTAACACGGCTGTTAAGTGACTCTGACTTCCCCATTGACTTCGCTTGTCAGAAGGTTGCAAAAGGGGATCACATGACCCTGGGACACTGCAACTGTCATAAATATGAGTCAGTTGACAAACATCTGGATTTTGATCACATGACCATGGGGATGGTGCAACGGTCGTGTGAAAAATGGTCATGTCACTTTTTTCAGTGCCGTTGTAACTTCATTCACTAAATGAACTGTTGTAAGTCGAGGACTATCTGTACCTCAATTTTCAGAAGGCCTTTGATAATATTCCTCATCAAAGGTCTTGAATAAACCTTTACAGTCATGGAATAAGTAGATTAGTCCTTTTAAAAATTGTTAATTGTTTAAAATTCAGAAAATAAAAATAAATAAACAATAACCTCAATGGAGCTAAATGCAAAGCGGGAAACACATCAACCCCCTAAAGTGAAAATGTGCTATTTGTTTTTAAATTATCTTAATAAGAGGTGAGATGTGTGCAAGGTAAATTTGCAAATGATAGCAAAAAATGCATGGTTGTGAAAATCAGAAATGATTGTAAAGATTTTGAAAAGGACATCTTTATATTGGGAGAATGGTCAACTAAATAACAAATGAGGTTCAATGTAAGTAAGTGTAAAGTGATATCTATTTCACCAAACCCAACCCAATCCAACCCAACCCAACCCAACCCAAACCCAACCCAACCCAACCCAACCCAAACCAAACCAAACCAAACCAAACCAAACCAAACCAGCTTTTTTTCCCCAAGAGGCAACTGGATTTTCTGTTTTTTCTTCAGAGAGAGCTGAAGAAGCTTCTTGGATGAGAAGGGAAACGTCTTCAAAGAAAAAAACCTCTTGGAAAAAACTACCTTTGGGACAACCATGACCTAGATGACTGAGAATCTCCCTAGACAAACCAAAACAACAATAACAGCCCAAATTTCAGGTACGTACATACTGCTGGAGTGAGCTATATGTAATTAATCAGGAAATTGTGTTAGGGTCACTATAAATAACTCAATGAAGATTCATGTTTATTCAATAGGAGGCATCAGTGAAAAAGGCAAACTCTATGCCAGGGATCTTTAGGAAAGCGGCTAATATAAAATTTCCAAAATTCTAATAGCCATATATAGCTATCAATCCATGCCTACATTTACATCATCACATTTGAGAAAGAACTGGAAACGTGAACCATGGATTCAGGCATGTATAGGAAAAGTCCTTTGACACTAGAAGATGACTAAAAGAGGGATGATTGAGGTAAATGTAATTTTAAAAAAAGTGGAGAGAGAGAATCCCCCCCCCTTTTCTCAAAACACCAGGACCAGGAGTAATCCAATTAAGCTGTTTGATTAGCTTTAGAATCTAATTTAGATTTAGAACAGCAACAGCAACAAAAATCTTCACAAAGTACATAATTAACCTGTGGAATTAACATAGATAGAATTTGGATGGCTTTAAAAAGGGATTGGATATATCCAGAAAAGTTCATGCTACCTTCCAAGTGGGAGCAGTCTACCTCCAAAAACTAGTGCAGCAGAATAATAGTCGAGAGGAATGCCTGCTATTTAGGAATATATGTAATTCTTGATTTATGACCATTTATCGACAATTTGAAGTTACAATGGTGTGGAACAAATGGTGGGTTGACTGGAGTTTCAGCCATCCTACGTGATCATGATCTGGGCACTTGGCAACCAGCTCACATTCGTGGCTTATTGTAGTACTCCATGATGATGTGATTGCCGTTTGTGATCTTCCCTGCTGGCTTCCCCAGAAAGTAAATGGGAAAGCCAGCAGAGAAATTTGCAAGTCATTGAGATGGTAGATAGATAGATAGATAGATAGATAGATAGATAGATAGATGGATGGATGGATGGATGGATGGATGGATGGATGGATGGATGGGTGGGTGGGTGGGTGGGTGGGTGGATGGATGGACGGACGGATGGACGGACAGACAGACAGACAGACAGACAGATGAAATATTAGGTTGCAGGAGTTCTTGAACTTGGTTTTTCATTGGTAGATGTTTCATTACCAGCCCAAATAACATTTCAGTTGTTCAACGGAATAGCACTGAAGACATCTATGGGATAATGTAAATAAGAAACCAAGCTCAAGGAATTCCTACAACTAACACACAGCTAGCCTTTTCCATGAAACATGTAAGTCTGCCAGCTGGATAGCTAACCCAGCTCATAACAATTCTAAAGCAATCATTTAGGATAAGAAGGTAAAGAGATCAGAAACTCAGGAACTCAATCCGCTTCCAAGGGCTCTCTACCCTGCTAAGACTCTGGAGTTGGAGTGATGATTCAGACATGTTTGTTCCATTCTGGTTAAAAGAATCTGTTCCAAACTACTTGCTGCAAATCCATGTTATTGCCTTTGGATGTAATTATTTCTAATTATAATTATTTCTAATTATTAATTAAACAGATGGATAAGTCAGTCTTTCATTTCTTCATGTGTGTATGTGGGTGGGTGGGTGTTGCTGAAGAGTTGCACCAATTCTTTAAAAAAAATTAAAGGAAACAAAGCAAGTCTATTAGTATTTCAAAAGAGCAAAAGAAGAGAGAAACTGAGGACTGGACCACTTAGATGATAATAGACAAAGAGAATCTTGTTTAAGTTTGCTTAAATACCCAAACTTGACATTTCTATAAAAACATACATAAAACAAAGTGGCTAATACAGTTTCTATTTTTTTCTTAAAAAGAGACTGCCCCATCCTTCATTTTTCACCCCACTGAAAAAAGTGGGAAAGTTTGTAGTTTTCCTCATTTTTTCCACTTGTTTGTTTATTAAATTTCTATCCTGACTTTCCTCCAGGAGCTTAAGATGGATTCCATAGGGCTCTCCATTGTTTTATCACCAGCAATCCATCCATCCAGGTAGGTTGAACGAGAGAGGATTACTGGCTGAATGTCACTCTGTAAATTTTCATGCCTGAAGCCAAACTTGAACTTGGTATCCCCTGTCCTCATCCTATAGTTTAAACCCTGCACCATACTTATCTGTACTTTGCCTTGTCTTTGAATTTTTGAAATCCCTGCATTGGAAGAAATAGAGGAAAGAAAGATTATAATTTACTCAGGACCTTTTGTTGCTCCTATGCATCTTTGAAAAGTAAAAACATAAGCATTTGTTCTCTTGCTGCTGTGGAAATACCTGGTGTATGTTGCTTGGGTTTTTCTTTTTTCTTTTCTTTTTTTAGATAGAACCTTTGCATGCCTTTGTAAAATATGTTGTTTTGTCATATAGTTTGCTCTCCTGGCATTGCAAAAGCTTCTCAAAGACTGATTAAAATGCATTGTGTAAGCTAAAAAGATATTAATCATTTCTGCAGTGCTCTGCTGAATATAAAGACCATTTCTTATTGTACAGTCTCAAATACCCCTATGAAAAATAACATAATAACAAGAGTTGAAAGGGACTTTGGTGGTCTTCTAGTTGAATCCCCTGAAACAAATGGTTGTCCAATCTCTTCTTAAAAATCTCCAGTGTTCTGGAGGAAAGTCCTTCCATTGATTAATTGTTCTAACTGTCAGGAATTTTCTCCTTACTTCTAGGTTGCTTCTCTCCTTGGTTAGTTTCCATCCATTGCTTCTTGTTCTACCTTCAGGTGCTTTGGAGAATAGGTTGACCCCCCCCCCTCTTCTTTGTGGCAGTCCCTTAGATATTGGAACACTGCTATCATGTCACCCCTAGTCCTTCTTTCCATTAAACTAGACATTTGCAGTTCCTGCAACTGTTCTTTTTTATATTTTAGCCTCCAGTGCCCGAATCATCTTTGTTGCTCTTCTAGCAATGGGCCAAAACAAATTCAAGTTATACCCTATTATAAAGCAAAGAGCATTGATTTAGCCTCAATCATCTTGGAAAAATTAGTAATTATTTACACAGATTTGCTATCACTAGACACAATAACAGGTCCCTATGATATCAAGATCCATACTAAAAAGCCCAAAAGCCTTTGTTGACTACATTGTAATTATGGTGTTCTTTGTAATGCCCCATATGAAACTTACTTGTTTTCCCCAAGGTTTATTTTTCACAGAAGAGATTAAAAGGCTGAGTAAGGATCTGCCATTTACAGGAAGGAATCTCTTGTGTCCTCACCAAGAAATCTAAAAGATAACATGAGTCACTGCAGATGGAGAAGAGAATATCATTGATATGGAATTTTGTATAGTTTACTTTTTGGAATACTGATTATTTTTTTTAATACACAGATTTATTTCTTTGTTTGTGAGGTTGAGCACTTAATCATATAATCCTCTCATTTGCAATCTAGAGCAGTAGACCCCAGATATAAGTTTATAATCTCAGATGTGACTTGTGGAAATCAATCTTAGATGCAGATGAAAGAGAATAAGAAATGGTAAAGTTTGGCTGAAGGGAAGACCATCAATATGCCATGTTGTTCCTCACTGGAGTCCAGTTTTTGAAGTCTGTATTACACCTAAACATTCATTCGCCGCTGAATGGTTGTTTACAGACCAGGCAACATACCCTTGTGAGATGTTAAATTATTGTAAACCCTGGCATTAGGCTCTGGAGAAGAATCCAACAGCCCATTTGTCATTTTGTATAGAATTCTCTGCACATTAAAATGTAGAATAATCTCTACCCTCCTCCTCCACTTGCAAAATTTTGTATCAACAGATTTTATAATAAGAATAGAAGGCGACTATTTCTACAATGCAATTAAATTGGAAGCCATAAATCTCTTTTTTTCAACTGTGCTCTTCCTCTGGGATGGTCTCAGGCATAGAAGCTTTATTATGTAGTAATATTATTAAATCTCTCTCTCCCTCAAGATATGCAAGAAAGATAACAGAGCATTTCATGACTTTATGGGTTAATATCTTTTTAGTGCCATTCCCTTCTAGTACAAATATTAATAAAATGGCAGGAATCATTAGAGATGGATTGTAATAGAATCATGAGGTCCCAGTGGGGACATTATTAAGACTAGGTGAAATTAAATCCTGTTGCAGCCAGTTGGGGAAGTGATTTCTACCCAAATGAAGCCAACAGAAGGTCAAGTGCAGAAGAGATGTTTGGCCAGCCTGGATGGGGTCAGCCTGGTAGCATTTGCAGAAGTGGAAAATATTGGAAAACTTCACAAAAGGACAAGCTTTGAGTTCTGACTGAAAGGAAGGGTGAGGGAGCATTTGTTTTTGAGTCTGTGCTCTATGAAAATTACATCGTATATTGTATGGCAAACTCACCAGGGGAAAAAGACTACTTGTTTGCTTTAAAGAGCAGTTTAAAAGTAGATAGACAATGGAGGGAGAGGAGAGGAGAGGAGAGGAAAGGGCAGGGGAGGGGAAGGGAAGGGAGGGGAGGGGAGGGGAAGGAAGAGGAGAGGAGAGGATGCAAAATCACTTTGCAAACTGGAAATAAACAGGAACATATGTTAGTGACAGAGATGGAAAATCTGAGCCAGGATTGTACCCTGATGTCCAGTTGGTCATTGGGGTGTTTATACCTTTTTGTTTCAATTGCTTATGAAGGACCAAGATAGATATCTTTAAACTCCTCAAGATAATGGGCATTCCTTTCAAGAGTATCCACTACCATCTCTTCCTGAACTTTTTTAAAAAGGGACCATAATTGGTCATGCTTCCCAGGCATGATATTTAATGGCGATAGTTAAATAGTCTTTGCTTCATAGGGAACATCTGTCCATTAAGAGGGAGACTTTGAAAAGCATGTGCTGCACTGGTTAACAGCAGGGAGAGTAAAACACTTTGGAAAAAAAACAATAATTCTGGCTGACAACCATATAAGATTTCATCCGCTGTGCTCCAATTAGACTAGTCCTCCTCAGGTAAAAGATTAACTCTGAGTTTCTACTGTATTTGACTATGATCTTTTCATGAAGCAATTCTATCTAGCAAGTCCAGTGGATCCTTTTCAAATCCAGAGGATAACAGTTTGTGTTTCAGAATGACTGCAAGTTAAAAATAGGATTGTTTTGGGAGGGGCTTTGGAGCTGGGTGCCATCTTGGTGAAAATGACATTCAGTTCCACTTATTATTTCTACTGTTCTCAGATGCATTGATCTTTGGTAGGTCCTTACTTAAACCAGGTGGCCATTTGGATGAGTCACAATAAATAATAACTATAACTACAACTATATATACCATAATTAGAAGTTAAATTTAGAGGCTTCCTGGTCACAGGTTCCCTGTCTCAAAGTGTTTGATAGTTTCCCTTTCAACAGAGATAAATTAGACTGCTTGTAGCTTAGTACTCCTCCCTCCCTCCCTGAGGTACAAGTGCTTCTCTACCAGAGACAAATCTCTTGTATGTCTAACCACACTTGGCCAAATAAATAAATATGTAAATAAGTAAATAACAAAGTAAATAATAATAAAGGTATGATGAATCCCTCAGTACAATTAACACCATCACCATTTAGGCGTTCCCAGAGGACAAAGTGGTTTTGGTTTGTTAAACAAAAAAGTTGTACATATATTTCAAGCAGCAAGCCTCTAAATGTAATGCTGGAGGGTAATGATCTCTGTGTAATCTGAGAGAAAGGCAAATGTCTTTCCCGCCAAATGGTACCACCAAGATGTTTGGGCATGAAATGAAGCAGCACATCTGACTGTTGAGACAATTAAAGCCTTCCTTAACCTTTCCATGGGAAATGTTCAAGCTTATTTCTCCCAGAAAAGAATTCTAAGAAATACATTAACACAGTTCAGTTGCCTTGTGGAACAGTTACTAATTAGCTTTAAATTAACACAGATGCCTCATGGGAGTGTAGGAAGGACAATTAACCTGAAGTCACCATAATTTTGGGGGCGACTGGGTGAGCTTCATTAACAAGGCTTAATATGGAATACATTCTTGGCTGAAATCTTCAGGCTGTGCAGCACCCTAGAAATCTGCAAATTCATTTTCTAATGCAAGACACTTGGGTAGAGTTTATAGAACATGCTAGACTAGGCTACCGGGTGATTCATTTGTAGTGCAGTATGTGGTGGGAATGTAATTTTCTTAGAAAAGTCAATAAACTAGGCTTTCACATTAAGCCATAAATAATTTATTTGTCGGGGCATATCCCACAAATACAAACAAAATAGTAATTGTGTTTTGTTAATCCGAGTTTAGAATTTAGCATGTTATGCGATGCCTGTTTTTGCAGCCCGCCCTAATTCCAGAGTTTGAGCCAGAAGTTCCCAGAAAAAAGATGAGAAGACCTTCAGAATAAGGCTACTTTGGGTAACAATTTTGAAAGTAAGTCTCAATTTCCAGTGGACTGGGTGATTTTGAACTGAAATGAAAGAATCTTAAAATTTAGCACACTAGGAACAAAAAGTAAAGGGATCACTGCTGAAAAATCATCACTTTTGCCTCATTTGCCTTTCCCTCTATTGTTACATGAGAAATGACTCTGTAACAGTAATGGCGATGTCAGGTTTTCAGGCTGTCTTCAAATAAATTGCATCGCAAACAAAGTCTTTTATAAAACAAACTTTCATTTTATTAAGCACAGTGCTTTTTACACTGACTCGTTGCAGCCGGCACTGACGTGTTGCCCCCAAACCCCTCCTCTTCCTTCCCCCACTCCTCTGCATTCATTGGCCATCTTCCCAATCATTCACCCCTAATCTACTGCTCCAATTCAAAGAATTTCCCCCCTCCCATCCATCTCCTAGGGGACATTATCTCCAGAGGAAATAAGTAGGTGAAAGGCAACCGTCCCGTTACAGACGCCTGCATTCTCCTTCTTATGTCAGCACTAGGATAAATGCATCTTGACGTGCTGACAGGCGAACCTTTTCAGTATCGAGTGCACAAAGCAGAACACACATGCGCATATTCGCACGTGTGTCAAAGTGCTGGAAACCGGAAGGCCACTTGGTCTTTGGGTT